TTATTGCCCGCCGCTCCTCGCCGCCCGCAAACGCTGGCTGTCAGGTGAGCAAGTCTGCGGTTTGAATCCTGTGCACGGGTGGGGGAAAGGCTTGCACAGGCACAGAATTCCAAACCCAGACTGTCTGGATCATTCCCGGACGGGTGGCAACCCTAGTGAGCTGGGAGGCACCACACAGAGCTTCCCAGGTTTCTAAGAGCTCTTAGCAACCTGAAAAGCTGTGGCCTCCCCCCTGCTGCCCCCCACTCAACACGCACACCACCCGGACACTTCCCAATGAGATACCGTCTGAGGCAACCACCTCAGGCTGCCTCATTATAGGGATGGCCCTGGCATCAGACATTAAAGCACAGTCAAACATACTGCAGATGGAATTTGCATTGATAACGTGAGGTAATTATTTGATGAATTTACAAGAATATTTCTACACACATAAAGAGCATAACACAGTAAACACATAGAATCCATGCTATGAATTATTTTCTGAGGAAAGTATTTAGGGTCCACTTACAGAGACTGTCTCGTCCTCCATCATCTCTATGACACACGCCAAGCAAAGAGGTGTATCACCAGTTTCCAGAGCTGGGAGAAGCCAGTGTGTGTCATGACGATAATGGGCCCGTTCATACAGATGTGGCCCTGCCATAGACACTCCCTTTGTCACTATCATACAGCAATACGGAATCACTACACTCCTTCCCGCTCTTTTCTTCATAGCCAATTGGGAAATATTATTGTGAGGTCATTTGTGATTGGCTAGTCTGTGTCAGAGGGGGCGTTCCTGATAAACTCCTGAAATAGTACAGTGGAAGCATCTATATGTTTGCAGCCAGGACTAATAAACCCTGAGGGTCACAACACATGTTACAATCTGATTGTACAATCTCAGTTAGATCTACAAACAAAGTGTCTGCCTGATCACATATATATGAATTGGATAGATTATGTAGGTCTTCATATTACATAGATTTGGTAAATCTAAAGTTGATTGTACAAAGATTGTATGGTCAGATTGTAATGTGTGGGATGACTCTATAGGCTCTTTCACTCCATGTACTGTGACTGGCGTTTTTCCACACTGGATCAATGTTAGTCACTTCACTATCATGCTGGTGTGATGTGTGGTGTGGAAAAATGCAGACATGCTGCTGGATCGAAATGGAAGTCACCACACTGCAGCACACCATGGTTAGGCAACCTCAGCCCTCCAGCTGTTGTGGAACTGCAAGTCCCATGAGGCATTGCAAGACTCTGACAGCCACACGCGTGACTCCCACAGGCAGATGCACCATGGGATTTGTAGTTGCAACACAGCTGGAGTGCCTTAGACATTTGTCACCATAATAGGTGTCCCCATGGGAAGATTCACCCTCACCTCTTGTTCTGGTGATTCATCTAACATTTATGATTTCTGAACTGTAATTTGTAAGCTGCTGAGTATACTGGAAAGCATGAGGGGATTTTTTTGGAAGTGTGCTTAAAGTTGAAGTAACTTTTTAAATAAGTGAGTATCCACTTTAAATAAAAAAAATACATTTAAAGATTTACTTTATTTATACTTTTTTTAAGGATTACACATTTTTCTACATCTTCCGGGCGCTCTTTTTTTGTTTTGCACATGAACCAGCCATCTGTGACCGTGGAAGCCGGTGTTCGATCGAATATACATGGGTCTGTCTTGTGTTACAGCGCCACCACACGGTTGGCAGTAAAAGCTCATGACGGTCTACCTAACATTCACGGGAAATGAATTGCCGCAAACTCCGCCCCTTCCGCTCTTTGACCGCCGGAAGTTGGAAGCACGTTGCCGCCGCGTTGCTGTTTGGAGGTTCATTTGGTTTTCCTCCGTGAAGCTTCCGGGCCGAGGGGACCGTACGACTTCATAACCGGGCATAAAATGGTAAGGGGAACTGAGGGTGACATGAATATACGCGGTGAGTCTTTGTATATGGAGGGACAAGGAAATCTTGTCATGTTATGAAGCTTTATCAGCACGTGTTCGGCAGGCAGTGTCTTGCTATCATTACATGAAATAAGAGGCTCCTCATAGACATAACAATAGTCAATGGCTTTTCTTACGACTTCAGATTTGTGAATAATCATTCTAGTGTGTCACAAGGAGCTGATCTGTATTCGGTGTGATATATTCTGTTTTTCTTTACAGACTGAACCAGAAGTAAACCCCAAAGCCTATCCATTGGCTGATGCTCAGCTTGCAAAGACCCTTCTGGACCTTGTGCAGCAGGCTGCCAATTACAAGCAGCTCCGCAAAGGGGCTAATGAAGGTACATATAGCTGTTTATACATATAACTGGCTTTCATCACAGTGCTTATTTTGTGTACGCACTGCTGGGAAAGGGACCTCTGGCACACAAGAAAGGGATGGCCGCACCACCAGATGAGGTGAAGCGTGCTTCTGGGTGGGCTGGTGCAAAAAAGATAGGAGTGCTAGTATTGGTGTCTATAGAAAACCATGCCGGGGGGACAGGAGTTAGTGTGGTTGTATCAGTGTGATTTAGTCATGTGAACATGGCAAAATGTTAATCTTTTTACCCCTATTAAGATTTAGCTTTAGATGTATTTTAGTATTATGATAGGATAGCCAATATGTTAATCCATGTGGCAAGTTTAACTCAGAAGTGCACATTTTATTATGCGGTTTCCCCTTCTATAAAGGTGCTAAACTAGTTTTTTTAGTACAAAGCACAGTGAAGTTATTTACAAATGGATTTGATTTTTTTTTTGTGTTTGTAATGCTGTTACAAAAATGTTTGACCCAATTGGATAAAAACAATCTCCAACTTTTTTTTTAGATAGTGTATTTCCACTTTTGCAATCAAATTTAAGAATATTATTAGCAATAAAAGACTTACTTTGCCCATCAAACCTTCACTTTCTAGGATTTACAGGCAAATAAAATAGAACCAAACCCACTACTGAACCTTTTGGTGTGCCCCATGTGGCAGGTCTCTGGGCTCTATTCCAAATCTTGTATAGAGCTACACTCTGATCTATCCTTTAGCCGATTGCAATCCACCGAACCTACTTAAGTCCTAGCTTCAACAACTTTATTAAATCATTATGTATAACTAATCAACAGGGCTTGGAAAAATGTATGGTGTCTCACCAGTCAGCATGACCGGACTATAGCCTTGCAATTTATGTTAAAACATTTTTAAGGACACATAGAGCTTTCTTTTGGTGGTATATAAAATCACCACTGGGTGGTTTTTATTAACTATATAATGAAAAAAGTACAGTAAATAAAATGTAAAAAAATGTTTTCCCTACTTAATGTTAAACATTTATTCTTACCCATGTTTTTGTTAAAATATAAGACGAGGTCACGTCAGGTAAATAAATCCTCCTGTCCCATCGCACTCCTGACCGGACAAAAACCCAAATCCAACTGGGTGGGTGCGGTAGTGACAACGGATGCCTCTGTTTGCCTGAGGACGGGACTGCATGGTCTCGAAACGTCGCTAAGGAGATGTGTGTTATCTCAGTCAATAAACAGCATTGACTTTAATATCATGGAGTGCGAGTGACTACTTTCATCTATCTACGTCGGGTAAATAGACACAAAACATGTCAAGCATTAAAATTGCATGCGCCCACAAAATCGCAGAAGACAACCACACTGAAAGTTGGCCACAGGCGACACTTTTAGTGTTATCTGTGATTAATGGCCCTAAAATTATTGGTCTCCGACGTCCGTGGTGATATGTAACATGTGCAGCACAATAGGCGCAATCGCCGTAGGCGCACCCTATGCATGTTTGCGTGTGTATGTGGGAGCGGGGGACTTAACAAAAAAATATATTTTTTTTAACTTTTATTGCTATCACATGGGGGGCTATGGATGTTGAACTTGTTTTGCAGTTAGTCTAACATGGACCCGAACGTTGCTTCAATGCTTTTATTTTTTTGTTCATGTGGAAATACTTGATTTCTATTTCGATTACTGGAGATCCAGATGCTCCTGTGGCATTATTTATATCAATATGCCTCTATTCACAACTGGCAGTGTTTTGACTTGTTCCAATTTTGTACTGTCTTCAAAGAACAGGAAATGTAAAAATCAACCCTTGCAGTGGGGCTACTTGTGCACTGCAAGGGTGAACTGCTTGTTTTGGTCTAGGGGCTGGAATAAATATACTCGCCTGATCCTTGGTCCTGCAGTGGTTGGTGCTCAACTCTTTCCCCCACTGTTTTATTTTATACCATTTTAGAGACTGCAAACTGGTTAGAAATGCCATTGACCTACTTTATGTTTTTTTTTTTTTTTTTTCTTGCAGCCACAAAAACTTTAAACCGAGGGATTTCAGAGTTCATCGTAATGGCAGCTGACGCAGAACCACTCGAGATCATTCTTCACCTTCCTCTGCTCTGTGAGGATAAGAACGTCCCCTATGTCTTTGTGCGTTCTAAGCAGGCATTGGGAAGAGCCTGTGGTGTCTCAAGACCAGTTGTTGCATGTTCGGTTACTATTAAGGAAGGCTCCCAGTTAAAGCCCCAGATCCAAAGTGTCCAGCAAGCTATTGAGAGACTGCTGGTGTAATTTTTTTTTCTTGAAATTAACGATGGCTCCGTGCTGTAATGCATTGTACATTTTCTTTTTTTTTTTTGCCTAAAAATCTA